AACTGTTATAAGTGTTTTTGACATATACTGATCCATGGTCTGTTATTGAGGTCTGTGGGAAGTGGCTGGAAAGGCTGAAAGAATACCTATAAAGTGGAAGGCAATACTCAGACCCTTGATATCACTGTGAGGGTATATGAAGATCGGGTTTGAAGTATATCACTAAGAATGTTGGAAGATATGAAGAATTAAGATATCACAGATAAAGATTTGGAAAATTTTGGAACTCCTCCAAATTTTGGGACTCCTTCTTGTTTTGGATTTTTTTTGGATTTTGGGTGTTTTTGATTGTGATTTTTTTTATATATTTTTTTTCTATATTTTTTTCTTTATATTTATTTTTATTTTTAATATTTTGGGTGACTATTTAAGTTTTATATTCACACTTTATTGTGATTAGATGGTAATCAAGTTTACTTTATTTTGATGATTGTTTGTACTTCAGGGGAAGGATTATGGTAGTAACTTGATGGGATTTTATTTTGAGAAAGGATAGTGCTATTCCTTCTACAAGAGTTTCATGTTTGTCAACTTTTAAAGTTTACGGTTATTTTCAACTTTCCCTTTACTGTCGTTCTTTTCAACTTTTTGTCGGACATTGGTGGGTTTGCCATTTTCCATGACTGTTGTTCTTACTCTGTAAACTGCCTTGGCAAAACCTGTAGTAATAGTGCTATTATTCAAATGGATAACTTTTGCCTATGAGCATCTTGTACTCTTCAGACAATCCATGAAGAATGATGACCTAAGATTATAATTATATTATTTTGTAGATATTTGTATACACAGGCCATAGGCATGAATGCCTACTGGCAAAACTGAATGCTTGGCATCCCAGAAAATACATGGATGTGACCCAGTGCCAAGTGTTTTACCCAGGCCCAGTTCAGCAGCACTTACTTGGGTATACATAGGTTTAGACCTAATCTGCAATAAAGCCTTCTCATAGCAGTCCGTGCCACAATCCTATTTGCACAGGCTGCCTACATCTTCGCATTTTCTTTTTTGTAATCCATGTAGTGATTTTTTTTCGAAGCAGCATCTGCTATAAATCCACTGGAGATGATCATTATTAATTACTTGACTGATGGAAAAAATCCATGTATTTTTAGCTCTGCGTGAGTTATCCAGATGCAGGTGCTAATACTCTTACTGTCATGTACAATTGTTCATTTGTTAGCAACACTAATTCTGCAGTGCATACCTCCCTGACGGAAAGAGGAAATTTGTATTCTCTGCAGGAACCATTTCTCGAAGAGATAGGCAAGCAGTACATACATTAAACTCTTTCAGGTACTGGCTGAGTTCTTGGCATTCTCAGCATCTCTCTCTTAGCAGCGAAGAATAATGTTATTGTTTTTACAGTCTTTGTCTAATACAACTCATTCAACAAACAAAAGCGGGAACATACAAGATTTCCATATATTTGAGATTTTTTGCTAAAAAGTAGAGGGTGAGACCTAATGAGTAGCTCACTGCAATGGCAGATATAGACACTTGATGGGACAATGGATTTTGTCATACATTTATGAGTTTGTTTAGTGTAGTGGTTTTGAAAATTGTCTTCAGCATTAACCCTTCGTGAATGAACTTCTGTACCAAATGCTTCCCTTTGGTTTTAAAACACTACAAAGTTTATGAAATGTATGTAGATTGTTGCTTACTCTTGTGTATTAATTACAGCAGTGTGGTTTACAATTTGTTTTTTTTATAAAGAGTAGATTTGCTTAGGAAGTGTCTTTTTTGGCTTTAATTGTGATAGCACCTATATATTTTAAAGTAGATTTAACACCCAAACACTTCAATTTCATTTTGAGCTTTAATTGAATTAAGTTGTTTCCTATCTTTTCACATCTGTAGTTTTCATTAAAGGCCCATTTACACTAGTGGTAGCTGGTAGCTCTAAAGAGTGATCACTGGTGGATCCCTTTTCAGAGAGTTTGACAAAAGGTTGGGAGGCGTCATGTTGCCACCTCACACACCGTTTTAACCCCTAAAAGGTCACACCAAGACGCCATAACCATATACATTTCACTTGGTCGCAGGGTGGTTGTGGCGTGGCTCCATTCATTTAAACGGGTCACATTCAGAGGGCAGGATTTTTTTTTTGTTTTTTTTTGCCACTGCAGGTGTACACCCTTATACAGCCACCCCAGCTCAACTGCCTGTTTTTACCACTCCCCCAAAAATTGTGCACCTATATTATCACCCTGCCATGTGTGGTCCTAGCAGAGACAACAGCTGTGCCACACACATTGTGCAGGCATGGTCTACTGTATTTCTTGTCTGGAAGGTAATCAGTGTATAACTAATGAATGAAGTATATGCAGATAGAAATTGGCTGAAAAAGGCTACAGATGATCAGCAGCACCGAGATACAAAAAAAGTGATTTAAAAAGGTGAAAACTTTTTTTTTTAATGGTAAAATAGGACATAGCAGTTGTTTATACTGATTTAGCAAACTAAATGCCATCCAATTAAGAGTTTAGCTCTAAATTAAAACAGTGTTGTCATATACAAGTTCCTGGAAAACTGGCACTTCTAGGAGTGTCATCCTTCTTGGTTCCCCCCAGCTCATAGGTTCCTCCTGTTGATATACCACTCTAGGAGAAAGCAGTGTCGTGAAGTCAGCAGGAGGAACTTTTGAGAGCTGCAAGGGACAAATGTGACTGACACTCCTGGAGGTTTCCCTTTTGAAGTGGAATTCAATAAAATGTAATGTAATTGGAGAAATATTTAATAGTACAGTTGGCAGGAAAGGTAAGTATTTAGTATCTACTTTACAAATATAAGCTGGGTTCAGTTATTTGAATATATGTCCCTTTGGGTTAAAGCAGAGTACTTCTCTAAGACAAATGCTCAATGTCAATAGTACTCCCATCATAAACTTGGCTGAAGTAAACTGAATAATCGTTATAAACAGAAGTAAACTTCAGTAAAATAGCCAGACAAAACAAGCTACAGATAGAAAGCTAAAATTGTATGAAAATCTTTGCTGAAAAATTTTAGCTTGTTGTGTAGCCATCTACACCTCAACGTATTGTTATTGTTTCTTTCCTTCGCAATATTTGCTCAACGTAGAACATGGCATTCGAAGTACAGAGAAAAAATATCATACAGTACAGTAAAGGCATGTAGAGGCATTACTGTTAACAGTATCAAGATGATGAGAGAATCAAAAGTACAACTAATTGAGGTTTTTAGAATGTAGGAATTAGAATAGTGTAGCCTTGACATACAGTGGACTGCACAAAAAACAGGGCGTAGCCTAGTATGCCTAGTGCCTAGTGGGCTTATGAGGATACAGAGTGAGGTAAAATACTACTCTGATTAGCCAAGTCTACTGTGTTGCTGGTTCTTTAATGTAACAAATGGCATTTGTGATCATTGAGATTTTTATTAAACTTCAGCCGTCTGTATTTCTGCATCCAATAATTATTTTTTAAATGTGTGCTTTTTTGTTTTTTTTCTGTGTGCGCACAGGCCAAAAATGCTATCAATGACCATTAACACATGGGAGTTAATTTACTAAAGGCAAATAGATTGTGCACTTTGAACATGCAGTTGAACTCCTTTTTCCTCAGAGCTTAGAGAATGTAGTGAATCTATTGATTTCCATCATCTTGGGGCGCAAGTGAAATCTGGGGGGGGCGGGGGGTGCAGCCTACCCCATCATCCCCCTAGATCTGGCAATGCAGGTATATAGTGGAGAAAAATTGGGATTCTGCTGTGTCAGGACAGGAGTGATTGAAGACTGGTAAGGGGATATGTGTATCAGGATTGGAGTTGCAGCTGGTGGGGGAGTAGAGCTGGAAAATAGAGCAGCATGACCAAAGTAACTAATTGCAGAGAAAGGAGTAGCCGAGCTGGAACTGTTTGTGGCGAGTAGTAGAGGAGGAAAGCAGGGATGGTTTGGAGGAGAGAAAAAAAAGAGACCAAGGGAAGGAGAATAGATGAGTTGGACCAGAGAGGAGGGAAGAGATTGTCCAGGAAGAGAGTGTAGGTGCAGTGGGAGCAGAGAGATCACAAACCTGGCACATGGAGGTGAACCGGCATGTCAGGGAGTGAAGGTTGGCCCAGCATCGCCCTTCTGTGTGGCGCCCAGGGGAAAATGTCCCTGTTTCCTTGCACCTGATTGGGTATTCTTTACAAAGTGAAGCTTCACCACATTCACTAAGCTCTGGGGAAAATGATTGCAACTACACTTGCAAAATGCTTTTAGTAAATAAACCCCATGTCATCGACCATGGGATGCAGCACATAAATTGGACTGAACAAAGGTATTTGTCTAGTAAGGCAGCCCACTGCTTCCTAATGTCTACTTTTTTTTAATGTACATCTACTTTTAAGAAAAAAATCCACAAAGGAGGTTTGTGGGGACAGAAAATATTACAAAAATATCTGCTCAGTTTTTATTTATACAGTTATAATTTCTTTTACCTACAATCCAAAAAACATATTGGTAGATGAATTGGAATTCACCCACAATTTCTGTATGCTATGTATGTGCCTGCTTGATTGTTGGGAGCCCAAGACTGTATACTCTTTTTGGGCAAGGACTGATGAATGGTCTATAAATGCCGAAACGTGCTGGAAAGCTGGTGGTACTGTATACATTTCTGTAAAAGAGTAAAGCTTACTCTGAAGAGGATTTTCATAATTCAGTATTTGCTGCAATGCAAGACGCATAATAGTCAGCAGTCAACTGGTAAAACATTGGTAATTGTTAGTTTATAGAGTTGTATAAAGTTTTGGTAAACTATGGAAATTAACTTAGAGTATTTGTATGTATTTGATATCTTTTATTGGTTAGAGTTGCCAAATTTATCCATGTTGCCGTGTTATGTAATTGGGGATCATTACATTCTGAATTTGTACCTCAATTATATTGTAATAATTTTGCTGGTTACCAGGTGGGGTGGCAGTTGAAAAATTTGGTGAATGCACTACGAGAGGACCCGAGTGGTGTTATCTTAACTTTGAAAAAGCGACCTCAGAGCATGCTTACCTCAGCACCAGCTTTACTGAAAAATATGAGATGGAAGCCCCTTGCTCTGCAGGTAATTAAGCTTAATCATAAGTCATTCGCCATCATTTTAGCCATAGATGAAAATTACTATAATGCTTTAAAGGGAAACTATACTCTAAATATAAGTGGGGATTGAAAATGACATGGCTATATCATGCTGAAATGTCTAATTTAGTTTATCAGAAGATTACAGAGTCTTTTAGCTTTGTACTTCCATTTTACTTTAACCCAGAGATGGCATCGTGTGGTTCTCTTGGCTCTTAAAGCTTAGTGAGTTTAATGTGGAAATTTACCAACAACAACTTGTTAAAAAAAAAAAAGTGTTCTTTAGCAAGAAACAAACAATGCACGTTTAATAAATATGCTACCAAAATTAGTGTGTGCTGTAAATTGCCTCCAGCATTGTTATTCTGGCTGGAAGCTGCCATTTTGCTGAAGCCCAGAGTCCTGAGCAGTATTAAATCTTTAAGTTGTCAGCATATCGGCCTCTGCAAATTCCTTAAGTGCCTAAAAATAGAGAACAACCGAGCATGTGCAGAGCAGGGCGAGACAGTGTATTGCTGGATTTTAAATGGTACTGTATAGGCACTTATATTTAATTTTTTACACAGCTATACCTGCAAAAGAGGCCACCCTGAAGTGATCTAGCAGGACCTAATTTTCTGACAAAAGTTGCACTTTAAGAACAACTGGGGAAATATTGGTTAGCAGGCCTGCACTGAACAAAGGCTGTTATTGCCCACTATAATGTTCTGTTACGTGTTCTCTGTGGTGCAGAACCTATGAAAATCCATCCTAATATTAAAGACCAGTAATCCAAAATGACCATTGTTTTGCAGAGATATTTCCTTGCACCTGGCCAACTTCTTATTTGACTTTATACGCAGCTTCTGGTAAAGATCATTTAGCCTAAAATTACTTTCGTAGAATAAATAAAATATCTTGTTGTCTCCAAGTTTGCCCTTTCGCAAGTCTGAGAATCTGTGATCTTCACACCTGCTGAGCTACACTGATTATGACAGCTGGCAGCAGCTGTTGGAGCACCTCTATTTATCTCCATGATGAACAGAGATTGCTATGGGGCATATACAACACTGTTAGGGACCCACACATCAGCAGACTAAAAATGCAGCTGTATGTATTTTTAGTCCATTGATGTGTGGGCTTGTGCCGCTGACAGCAGGTGTAAAGATCACAGATTGTCATCCATGTTAAAAAGTATCTAAGATCAATTTGTATTTTTTATTAGTTTTTGGATAGAGTACAGAAAGGTTAGAACCCCTGTTAGCTATTATTGCTTTTGTTTTGCCACTCGAGAGATTCACTATCTCTATTTGTCCTAGTGACTATTATTATTTATTATACAGGACTTGTATAGCGCTGACAGTTTGCTCAGCGCTTTATCATCACCAGAACTGTAAATGAGCAAAAAACTAAAATTGTCAATGGGGAATTATCTAAGAAGAGAATTCCCTTATTTTGGGGATATCTCCGGTCACATCCTGTTGTGTCTCAAGACTGAAAGTTAGGAAAAAATATCAACAATGTGGCACAGACCGAAAAATAAAAATGTGTGAATCATTGCTGGCTCCTAAAAAAAGAAAAAGTTTTGGCTTTAGATATACTTTGCCAATTTTTAATACAGCCGTGAGAATTTTATTATAGTGCTGAAATAACTATTTTAGTTGCATTTTTGTTTTACTGGTCCTTTTTAAGGTATAGCTAATTTTTTATAGATTGTGAAAACCATACGATAAAGGTTAACTCAAAATGGAAGCCTGCTAGTTTAAGTGACTGCATAAATCTTAACTATGCATACATCAGCCTACAAAAGATCTATTTGAATGAAAAGCTCCCCTCTTAATTTAGTGTATGTCGGTATCCTTTAATGTACATCATTCGAACAGCTTACATTGGGTCCAAGGCTTGCCTTTTGTTGTGAAGTAAATGTGCTATTGTTCATTGCTTGGCCTTTTTGGATTCATTCTGCTTTAATCAGCTAGCAAATTATAACTGTTTCCGAAAAAAAAAAAAAAAGTAATGATTGCAGATTGAATAGGAAATGAGCATGTTTGTATGCCTGCATCAGAAAAAGCCATTGCTGTACAATTGTAGGCCAGAGGATGGGATCCAGTCTGATGAGCCTTGTCATCATATGGTTTAGATGGGGTCCTGACACAGAATTGTACAGCACTGCTGTAGAGTAGTCTGTTATAAATGATATAGTGCCTGTTTAGGTAATTTATGGCATGCCCGGCCAATAGTTAGAGCGCTGCTGATTTAATGGCCCTCATTAAAAACCGCTGCCATTCCGTAATAAATCCACCTTCTCACTACTTGTTAGTTTAATGTAATGGCTAAATCTTCTGCTGCATATTTTATTGACATTAAAATTGAATGATAATGAGTGTCATCTTATTTTTTTAGTGGTATGATGATGAAATGAAAACTTATTCCTGGACACGTATATCAGTAAGCAATTTTAAGTTACTAGATTTTTAGATTTCTTTTTTTCCAAAAGAGGGTTGGGGCTATTTTAGAATCTTGGGCATCAATCCAATCAGATAATTTAATCATAGTATTAACATAAAAAAAGTAACAGCCAGTAGCAGCTCGAGGATTTTGGAGAAGAATCAACCATTTTATATGGGTTACTGGTTGTGATGCTATAGATTGCAGTTTGTGGGGCAAGACTGTTATGTTTACATAAATACAGCTCATTGACACACCTGAAGTCCATAGATGGATCGAAATTTGGGCCAGTTTAGCAGGGAATGGCCAAATTTCACTCCATCTATGGCCGTTCCCGCTCAGCAGAAGTTGATCTATAGATTGACTTCTGTCAAACGGGACTGTTGGAAAACTTTTGTTGATCATTGGCTGCAGCTGCTGGTCAGTTTATTCTGACAATGGAGGCATCCCACTGTCAGAATACAATGGCATGGCAAGGAGAATTTCTCCATCCACCTGGCATGTGTGGATGGGGGAATCCATTAGAAGAAAGGAAGCATCTATGGCCAGGCTTAATATATTCACATTTTTGTCTTCTTTAGCCCTTTGTCACTTTTACTAATTATGGTCATTTTAGAGTGCACATCTTCTGACACATGGCTGTGTATATTTGAAAGCATCGTTATATTTCAGGAGCTTTGACAGAAGTGCTTTTTCCAAGATCACATTAAAGGCCTTCGTTGATGGATTTTTGTTCACGTCAGAACGGCTTCTCTCTCCATGAAAGTCTATAGTAATGCAAAAACAGCCTGAAAAATGTCAGAATGAGGTCAGCTGCTGGCCAAATGCATCTGTCAAATTCTGAATGACGTGAGAGTGATGTAAAAAGCAAACATCTGTAAAATCAAGCTGTGCATTGATTATATTCCAAATCCCATCAACCCATTTCCTCATTGTAAGGTTAGGTGCAAGCACAAATAAGTGAGTACAGCAGAGAGAGCCCACCAAATGGTCAGCTAACCAGTGGATTTATTTCTTCAAAAAACAAGTTGGTTTTTTTTTGTTGTAATACAATGACAGTATTCTGTTGCTTGAACTAGATGGACTTGTGTCTTTATTGCAACCTAACTATATTAAGTGCAAGACTGGATTTGGCATTAGTCGCAGTAGGCCTGTGTCTATATATTCTTGTATAGTTACTGGCCACACAACTTCTCTTCATTATCAGGAGACATATACTCTTCTTGTAGAAGCTTGAGATCAAAACAAGGAAATGTTTTGTATACAAAACAAAAGTGATTGTACTAGAGGGATTTTGGGCGCCAAAGATTGTGTGCCTACAGGGTTTGGTGAGGAAACATCAGCCCAAAGGAACATAATTATCTGCATGCATTGAGAATGTATATTTTGTATTGTGAGGAGATGGAAACACAAAAGTCTGATCGTAAAAAAAAAGTTAAAGTCCAAGTGGTCTACCTTTTTTTTTCTTTTTGATTACTTAGTACATGTGCTGGAAATTTGTTCCAAACATCCACTACTCTTTTGGAAAAATACCTTTTACTGTTACTCTTGGACTTTTATTCTGCCAGTTGGAAATCATACCTCTTTTAGATCTTCATTTCATAATGAATATACTGCCCTCCTTAACCATAGTCACCCCTTAATATATTTAAAGTGGGTATAAACCTCTGAAATGAAAAATGAACAAAGCATACCCTTCTATATTGTGTACTTGTCTTAATCTATGGCACCTAGAGTGAATCCAGGCTGCTCTCTTTTTACTCTGACTGCATGAGTCACTTCTGACAGTTTATGCTGACACCAAGCAATCCTGGAGGATGGCCTCAACCCCACTCCAGCACATCATGTGATTGACATCCCCAGCTGTGCATATTTCCCTATGAGGTTGTGTATAGGGGGGGGTGTCCATTTCCTGCACTCATGTCTCAGATTACACTCAGCTCTTCTTTCTGTGTTGTACAATGTGTGACAAACTGACAATATATCTCTGTCCCCTGGCTCCTGAAGCTAAGAAATGTTGTGTAAACGGTGCACTTTGATTAGCTGTAGAGGAGAGATATCTGCAGATAAACAGGTGCAGCTAGTGTATGAGGATTTGTTTTTTCTCTGTGTATCACCTCATGCCAGTCACTCAGTGGGTATATGTAAGGGTTAGCATATCAGAAAGTGATTGTATCACTTTAAAAGTTTCATGTTCCTTTCCTGATATGCTTACCCCTCACACTATGGATCATTGTTATTGTTTTTCTTTTGGTTTGCTCTTCTTAAGATAGCTGTTAAAGCAATCAACCCTAGGTTCAAAATAAATTAAGCTCTTGGAATTCTTCAGAATTGCTATGAAAGCTAGAAATGCAAAATTAGTCTGTATGTTTATTTGCTGCAACATTGCAAATTACATAGCATGTACAAATATCTGGTGTAAAGTGGAACCTTTTATTGGCTGTTTCTTTGCTTCAGTTACAGGGTGAAGCTTACAGTCTGATTCAATCAGTGATGTTTCTTCCTTTTTACCTCCTTTTACAGTGCTGCTTCATATCTTCATTATGCTTGTCATGCAGGCTCCAGAATGCAGTGTATGGCCATTTATATCAACAGAGAGCAGTCGCAGTGTGCTTAGTACTATAAACCTGCTTTACAAATCAGATGGTTTTATATTGGTGATATTTGTGTTTAATGGTAGTAGCAATGCAGCAATTTGATCAGTATAAATTCCCTTCTGTTATATGTTTGCTCTTGATCTGTGGATCAAATTTACTTATCTCATCCACCCTGCTTTGTCAAGGAATATGTAGTTGAGGCACTATCCAACCACCCAGAACCAGGTCTTTTAGTAGTCCACTAATAATGCATTCTTGGCTTGCCAAGTGTAATATTAAGCTGAATGATGAGAAGGGAAGTAGGAAGATACTCCCAGCATCCCTTATCTTAGAGGGTTTTCAATTCTTCCTGATCTAGCTGAGAATATCAGGACAATGTTTGTGGCCAGTTACAGAATCATCTATTCCTGGCTTCTCAATTTCTTCACCAAAGATGTCATTTTTTTTTGCTATTTGCACTGTGCTATTTTACCTGGCAATTGCTCAGTCATGCAACACAGTGCACAAATAGATCTTTCTTTTGGTGGTATTTTATCACCGCTGAGTTTGTTTTGCTATATAAATGAAAAAAGACCACACATTTTGAATCAAAAAACAATATTTTCTACTTTGTTGTTAAACATATCCAAAAAAAAATCATATTTCTTCATAAATGTAGGCCAAAATGTATTCTACATTTCTTTGGTAAAATAGTCCCAATAAGTGTAGAATAATTGGTTTGTGTGAAAGTTACAGCGACTACAAACTATGGTGTGTGTATGTATGTATATATGTATGTATATATATAAAATATTTGAAAACTGATCTAATTTCTCAAGGCCTTAAAATGCCAGGACAGTACAAATACTCCCCCACATGACCCCTTTTTGGAAAGTAGACAGTCCAAAGTATTTAGTAAGAGGCATGACAAGTTTTTAAAATTTGTACTTTTTTGTCACAATTTATGTGAAAATTAAGACATGTTTAAAACATTTTTTCCACATTTTTATTTTTACATACTGTCACCAGTGCAGTACAGCATCATCATATGACTGGTGTGGTGGTGATCAGAGATACTGACTGGTGACAGTATGTTGGGAAAAAAAATACGACGCCTAAATCTATATCTTTACCCCTCAGCTCACAACATCAGTTTCCTCACGCATCACTAACTCACTCACTGACTAACATATTAATCTGGATGTCACACCACTTCTTCAAACTCAATCTATCAAAAACCTAGCTCTTAATATTTCCTCACCCATGTGTTCCTGTCCCCTGACTTCTTTGTCGAGATCAATGGCACAACCATCAACCCATCCCTGCTTGCCTGGGTGCTAGGTGTAATCCTAGACTCTGGTTGGATGTGGTGCTGAATGGAGGTTTCACTTTCCAAAGCTTGCCGTCTCAACCTCTGCACCATCTCCAGAATACGCCCCTTCCTAACCAATGACAATACAAAGCTCCTAATTCACACCCAGGTTGTCTCTCACCTCGACTATTGCAACTCTCTCCTCACTGGCTTTCCTTTACATAAGTTATTCCCCCTCCAGTCCATCATGATTGCTGCTGCCAGACTCATCCACCTTACCAACCGTTCAGTGTCTGCCACCCCTTTCTGCCAACCTCTGCATTGGCTGCCACTCACCCAACTAATTCAATTCAGAAACTAACATCAAATTACAAAGCCAACCACAATTCTGCCCCCAGCTACATCACTCACCTAGTCTCAAAATACCAACCAAATCCCTCTCTTCGTTCCTCCTAAGACCTCCTGCTCTCTAGCTCCCATGCTCGCCTCCAAAACTGCTCCAGAACCTCTCCCTTCCTATGGATTTGCCTACCCCAATATGTCCAACTATCTCCTACTCTGTCCACTTTTATATGATCCCTGAAAACTTTTCTCTTCAGAGAAGCCTATCCTGGCTCCACCTAAAAACTGTACATGCATTTTCTCCATCTGATCATCCCCCCCAGTCATTATCTTTTGTATCACTTTACCCTCCTATTTTAGATTGTAAGCTCTAACAAGCAGGGCCCTCTGATTCCTCCTGTATTGACCTGTATTGTAACTGTACTGTCTGCCATCATGTTGTAAAGTGCTGAGCAAACTGTTGGTGCTATATAAATCCTGTATAAGAATGAATACTTTTTTTATTCATTTTTTTAAAACCTTTTTAACAAAATTTGTATTTCTTTTTTTAAATCATTTGGCGTAGTTCAGTATCACCACTGTACTACACGGGGGGGGGGGGGGGGGGGGGGGGGTGTGATCAGGGATTTTTTTTTTTATAATCACTGTAACAGCACTGTTTTGAATTGTCATGAATTGGTTACATTCATAACAGCTGTGATTATTATTGTGTGCTGTTTTGGTGATTGTGATGGCTGTGTACCAATCACAGCTGTTATGAATGAAATTCA